ATGTTTTCATCGAGATACACGTGCGACAGCGGGCTGCCAGCTACAACGGGTGGACCTCCACCGTGCATTTTCAAGGCTCGGATAGTGGCCACCAAAACTACCGCAGATGGTAGTAATCCGGAATATCTGAAAGGTAGGGAATTTTAGGAACAGTGTGACTTTTACAAGCTCTCGGGGAGAATGACTTCGAAAATGCACCTGCACTTGATGTCGAAGAACTTTTCCATGCCAATATCAGCACCGAAACCGGCCTCAGTGATGACATATCCATCCTCACCGACAAGTTTGAGGGCAACCTGGAATGGGAGCATTAGTATTCGCCCTTACTTGCGTCTTGAATCAAAATTACCTCCTGCTACTTTTACCGACTTCACTTAGCGTTAGCCACTAATTTTCTAAATAAATATGAAGTCTTACATAATTTCTCGTCTGTAAATTTTGTGATATCCCTCCAATGTTATATTTCAAGAAAAAAACAGACCTGATATACCATGTGGGGCCAAAATACTTATCAGTATATGTGGAAAGAGTAGGATTGAGAAAAAGAATAAAAGAGACCGGAAGGGGATGACCTGAAATTTAAACCGACAAATTACCTTGTTTGTAACCCGCTGTGTGGTACCTTAGCCCCCTATCTGACCATCCTTATCCTGGCAACGCCTTATATGGTATACGAGGAAACCACGGATTGATTCTGAAGGGATACCTCAGTGGTCACTTTCATCGTGAACTGCGCCTCATACCCCTGTTCCACTTGTATTCGGTTTTGATTGAAACTATTCGGCAACCATACGTCAGAAGATTCCAGTTTCGCGATTTTTTGCTCCCTTCGTTACGCTGGAGCCACTTGACATAACTAGTTGCCATCATTTATGTGGAGAACGCGTCTTCCACACCCATAATTTGAAAGATTTATGGCAATGTCAATGATGGATGAGCCCATGATTGTTTCTGGACCTTGTCATATGATACCACGGGTATAATTCAAAGTTTTTGCCTGACTTACGGTCGAAGGACCCTGGGCTCACCTTATCCGCCAGAATACTGCTTTGTCCGTGGGCGATATTGGCAAATGGTCCAGCATGTACGAATACAGGCGTCCCTTCGAGGGTTTGCATTAGATTTGGACGAACAGTGTCTCGCATGAGTACCTACAAAAGTCATTGTCCAGTTCGCTGAAAAACAGCCAAAGGACGAGTTGACTTTACCGTCAGAGCGTCCGTAACACCAATGTCGTCAGCAGTAACTGGTTTACCACTTGTGTCCGATGCGACTACAATTCTGCTAATCCGTTCACGCATATCTTCAAGGGATGTCGTGAGCGCCAAAATCGCCATAATCTGAAATAAACAGGAAGCTCAGAGGCAAAACAGCTGGGTAGAACGAGGGGTCCACTCTACCTCACTAGCAACGGTGATATCAAACTGCGTTCGTCTTGCGTGTCCTTTCTCACCCGGCCCCAGACCTATTTCAATTCCTAAAAAGGCACACAAAGATAAAAAAAATTATTTAATTCATTCCAGAAGAAAATAAAATTTAATTTCAACCTCAAAGGAAATTTATATATCCTGCCCCCCTTATCCTTCCATTACCACAAAACTATAGTCTCCCACATACATGGCGAGGATTGCACCCGTGAAATTCGAGGCCGCCCCGGCCAAAGTGAATCAAAGTTCTCGCTTTGCAGGTCTTCTGACAGATCTTCCTTACTCAATAGTTTCCATGTTTTCTTCCCACTCAAAGCCTGCTACATGCCTCTCACAGGAAGGTCGANAAAGTTCTCGCTTTGCAAGTCTTCTGACAGGCCTTCCTTACACAATAGGTTCCATATTTTCTTTCCACTCAGAGCCTGCTACATGCCTCTCACAGGAAGGTCGAGTGACTTCATCGTCATTGACAATGCCGAGTTAACCTCCGAACCTCGACATGTGACACAATCCCAGAAAATATTTTGATATTTCATTCCAGTAATTCATACAGTAGCCCGGTGAAATGCAAGGCGATTCACACCCCTGTTGTTCACGGTCAGCTAATCGTCGAAGGCAACCTTTTGGAACAGGTCCGAGACATGACTCCCTCAATTTGGGCGTAAGTCAGCATAATTAGCGACTAGGAGAGCAAAGAACATGGCTATAGACCTTGAAAAGTATCAAAGGTCGAATATTTCTCGTAATCGGAAACTAATGCGAATCCCAGCATCCAAAGTTCCCATTCTGGCTCCAAGTATCGACCATCATCTTAAGAACATTGGAAGAAAGAAAGAACATCACTCCCCTCGAAGGAAACGATCATTCGTATCGATCACACGATTCCATGTAATCGTATCGGGTGCAATATTCAGGCGTGCAAACTCGACACGTTGTTCAGGACTCAGTTGGTTTGCATCGTCGACCTCAGGAATGCCCAAACGCTTCAATCGTCGTTTCTGCACTGCCGACAATGGGCGTTTACCTGAAAAACGTCAATTTTCAGAAGGATGAAGAGTCACAGAAATCGAACAATTAGGAACGGGCCTGTGGTGAGGAGGCAAAGCACGGGTAATTCAGTAGTATGGAACGCATAATTGGCATGAAGTCATAGCAACACATCTAGGCCCTACGCTTCTATTCATTTCAGTTACACAGGAACGCCCAAACGTAATGCCGTAATAGTATAAATACGCAATTCAAAAAAGAGGAGGGTCAACGGTCTTCTCATGACATCTAAGGTGAGTTAGCTAGTGTGATTTACAATATTTTCCTAGATATCTATAGGCCACACCTGAACTAAGCTGAGGTCTGGACGTTGTTTGGTCAGGATGAGTCCCAAATATTTTTTGCTTCCAGGCTCTGGCGAAGGCGATTGGTCGAAACGTTAGCCGAATAAAACGTTGTATCATCTTGGTCGTGGCGTCAGGGATACCTCCAAAGTTACATCTATACTATGCCAAGATTAAATGATAGTCGAACATGGTTTCGGTTACATCAGTTAAAGGCACGGTTTACGATAAAGAAGGTTACTGAGTTCATCCTTCAGGAATACTCAGCGCCCCCCATGGGTGGTAGAAGGGACCCTCTCG